TTTTTTTTTTTTTTTTTTTTTTGACTTTCTTTCTGGGTGGTTTGCTTTCTTTACTGGCTTTGATTCATGTATTGTTCACACTCATATCCCAGGCATCATATAGGCGTTTGGTGCATAGATAGACCTTTATACAAGGCCCGCTTGGATCGTTTTCCTTCTACCATATCCATTCATCGACTGTGGCTTGGGCGCAGACGAGTAGGCTTGGTGTCTGAGGCCCATGTAATGGCGCATCTCCGGATTCAAAGCAGACGGAGGCGATGGGGTCTGCATACTGGTAGTTTGACAAGGGTGAAGAAATCTGTTCCCCGTTGCGCAGAGAAAACAGCTGGATCTTGCCCGCGTCGGTGGCTGAGCACGGAGTTTAGCGTGGCGTCTTGCGAAGGACGAAAGTGTCCAGTGGAAATGGATGGATGCACTCACCGCTGGCTAGAAGCCCGAGCTCCAAACTGATGTCGAAGTCGGGTATGACTTGAGGCTTGAAGTCTTGGAAAGTGAGATAGGGTCGAGTGGAAGTATGCTTCTTGCTGGTCGGTTGCGGTTTGGGTTGAAGCCCGTTGGGCGGAAAGCGGATATCGTACATCTGGAGCTTTGGATAGCGTCAGCTCCGTCATTGAAAGAGGCGCGATCAGATATTCCTTACAGAGTTTATCCCTGCAACGACCATGCGGTAAGGATCCACTCTGCGTATCTTCGTGACGGCGTGTGGATGTTGGAGTCGTGTCGCGGTTCCCCCGCTCCGGAGGTCATGGAGGAAGACAGAGGAGTCCTTGAGACCGGCCGCGATCACGTCCGAGGATAACCATTCGACGCTGGTGACGAGTGCATGGGAAGTTCCAATGCGTCGTTTGAGGATTGGCTTTCCCGCGTTCACATCGTCGGAGAACGGCTTTTTCGACAAAGCCCAGTAGGCCCCGTATCCTTGTAGAGTATACAAGCCGTCAGATGCCCCAACAGCAAACAGCGGGTGGTCTCCCACTGGACAAGCCGAAGAACACCACAAAGATGCTGCCGTGCGAATGCGAATTGGTTGGAGGACTATATTCAAGACGTATCAATTATCCAAGTTCTTCCGACAATGGAGAGGCCACATACAGGATGGCGGCCATCGGTAGTCGCCGCCTTCATCTGGGTCTGGCAACATTCGAGGTGCCAGAAACGAGTCGCCTTGGGGACCGCTGTCCATCGTTGAACTGGTCTGGTCAATCTCCTGGCCGGATGCAGGGGTGGACGAGACTCGGTTCTTACAGCAGGTAGCCTGTGTGACTCAACGAAATCGACGAAAGCTAAAGAAAGCCCCACGTTAGCGTAGAAAACAAGGAGCAACAAATTGGGGGGTCGTGGCTAAGATGTTTACCCTATACGGTTCCTTGAATAGAACACGTTCCATGGTCCGATTGTAAGTCCATTTGTTTTGGTCGCAATCCGGGAAGCACACCCTTGTACGGCTGTTAGCTTGCCGGATACACGACCTCAAAGGACCGGAGAAGGCGCTTACGACACGGACGATTCACCGCCGCGGTGACCACCTGGGACGTTCGTTAGTGATCTTTTCCACTGCAATCTCTGCGGACTTCTCTTTAGTATGATGTAGCACTTACTAGCAATCAAGATCCCCGAGCGTTTGTTACGCAGCACGTGCTTGATGCTATACTCATCTGGCCAGGCTTCGAATTGATGGAGCTGGTTCCTGCGAAGCTGACTGGTGTAGGCACGTGCACTTCGCTCCTGTCGCACAGTGGTGGGCAAGCGCAGGGCGCCGATCTCTCGCTGCACATTTAAAAGAGGGTGAGACAAAGACTGCGCCCTCTTAATCTTCTCCTTGGCCTCCCTCTTGATTTGCTGAACCTTTCGGCGACGTTCCTAGTCACGACGTCAGCGAGATCATGCAAGTTGATTCCGAGCCCTATTTTTCACAACCTCGTGGTCAGCGCGTTTGCGCTTGACCGAGTCTTTCGAGTATTGGGCTCCTGGAGCCGCCGCGTGGCTGGCCTGGATCTTGAAATACTTCTTCTTCTCCGGGTCTAGAGACCATGGTTAATAGGATTTGTTCGAAACACCCGATTTACGGGCGGTGGGTCATTATATATGTACCATAGTAGAATCCGGGGATCTCTCTCGCCATGACGAGTGAACAGAGAAAAATCAGAGGTGCGAGTTATGTGATGCAGAAGAGGGGTAATAGGTAGCATGAAGGGTTGATGTGTATCTTGGTTGTAACTGTCACGATGCTAAAGTATATCTGCTTGGATAGCCAGCGGCGTCATGTGCCGCATGTGCTCGAGCACTCAGCCCAATTTCTAGTCAGGCTGCTCGGAGTGGAAGAATTTGATCAGAACACCGCGTCGACTACCGTTGACAAACTGCGAAAGAGTAAGTCATGTATCTTGTAGGATTGTAGAGCAGTAGCACGTAAAAGAGATCATAAATGAAGAAAATATGGTATGAATGCGACAAGACAATGGAATGGATTTTCCACAGCGTTTACAGTAAAGTTAAGATGGATGGATGACGTTCGGGTCGGTGTTCTCAATTACGTCAGCTGTGCCCCTCGCTCATTGGCTGAGACGCCAGTATATTCCTCTTTCCCTTTACGGAACTCTGAACTTATGAGTCCAGCGAGTCTCTCCTTCCTGCCACGGAACGTGTATCCTTCCATGGCCTGTAAAGCAATAGTCTAAAGCAACTGATGATGACATGACCTCTGTCTGCTTGTTACTCCACACCGGTGGGCTCAATCACCTCCAGCTAGACGGCAATCTTATCTTGCATACGATTCAAAGCATAAGCTTAAAGATCATTTATACCTTACGCCCCCTTGGTCTTCTTTAGCTATGCCTATCACCTTGAAACTGAGCCGGTCTTCATTTGTCATGGAGAGCACGACCTCCCTCGACAAAACGAGTACCCTCGATGTGAACAATGGTCTTGTCGAGGAGAAGCCAGACTCGACTGCGCCAACCCAGGTCGCCATCGAAAATGACGAGGAGGAGGAGAAAGACATTGATACTCTCATCGAGGAACTAAAATCTGTCGATGGCTTTGCCGATTTGAAACCCCTGGAATCAAACCATACAGGTGGTCGACATCCAGTATCAGAAGAATTGCTCCACACAGACTCGAACACAGGCCTCAGTACGAACGAAGCACTTCTACGACGGAAAAAGTTTGGTCCCAATGAGATGAAGGAAGGAAAGGAGAATTTGGTTTTCAAGTTTCTATGGTTCTTCGTTGGCCCTGTTCAATTTGTCATGGAAGTATGTGTCCCTCATCGAGCCTCACAAGCGATAGCTACTGACTGTCTATCGACTTTAGGCAGCCGCGGTCTTAGCTGCTTATCTTCATGATTGGGTCGACTTGGGCGTGATCTGTGGACTTCTCCTGTTGAATGCCTCGGTGGGGTTTATACAGGAATATCAAGCGGGTTCCATCGTCAAAGAGCTGAAGAAGACGTTAGCACTGAAGGCTATAGTTCTGCGCGATAGTGTACTCTCTGAGCTTGATGCAGCCCAACTTGTCCCGGGTGACATTGTGAAGATAGACGAGGTACCTACCTTTTGACTGTTTCTTTTTCAAAGGTTTTCTGCCTAACAAGAGATAGGGCACGATCGTTCCTGCGGACGGCCGCATTATGACGAACTCTGCTATACAAGTCGATCAGTCGTCGATCACTGGAGAGTCTCTAGCCGTCGATAAGCATTCGGGAGATACATGTTACGCGTCCTCTACTGTGAAAAGAGGCCACGCCCGAATTCTTATTACCGCTACTGGCGATTCGACCTCTGTGGGGCATGCTGCAGCCTTGGTTAATGCCTCTGCCTCGGGGACAGGCCACTTCACCGATGTCCTCCAGGGTATCAGCACCGTCTTACTTGTCCTTGTTGTTGTCACTCTTATAATTGTTTGGGTGTCCTCTTTCTATCGTTCCAACAACACCACAACTATTCTCGAATTCACATTGGCTGTCACAATGATTGGGGTCCCGGTAGGCCTTCCCGCAGTTGTCACCACCACGATGGCAGTAGGAGCAGCATACCTGGCGAAGAAACGAGCGATTGTTCAACGGCTATCAGCTATTGAATCCCTTGCTGGCGTTGAGATACTCTGCTCAGACAAAACTGGCACCTTGACCAAGAACAAGCTATCTTTGACAGAGCCCTTCACCGTTCCTGGTGTGGAAGCTGAAGATCTGATGCTAACGGCATGTCTCGCCGCCTCTAGAAAGAAGAAAGGCATGGATGCAATAGACAGAGCATTTTTCCGAGCGCTATCCTCTTATCCGAGTGCAAAAGCAAAGCTTACAGAGTACGAAGTGATTGAGTTCTCTCCGTTCGATCCAGTCTCGAAGAAAGTCAAAGCAGTAGTACAGTCTTCCGAAGGAGAGCGCATCACATGCGTGAAAGGATCTCCTTTATTTGTGCTTAGGACCGTCCAGCAAGATCACGAAATTCCCGAGGAAATCGAAACTGCATACAAGAACAAGGTCGCAGAGTTCGCGACCCGCGGTTTCCGTTCGCTTGGTGTAGCTCGGAAACGCGGTGATGGCGAATGGGAGATTCTGGGCATAATGCCATGCTCCGACCCTCCGCGACACGACACTGCAAAGACTATAAGCGAGGCCCAGACTCTGGGGCTTTCAATCAAGATGCTCACAGGCGATGCGGTAGGAATTGCTCGCGAGACGTCGCGCCAGTTGGGACTAGGCACGAATGTGTACAATGCTGAGCGTCTTGGTCTTGGCGGAGGGGGAACAATGCCTGGCTCCGAGGTTTATGATTTTGTTGAAGCCGCTGATGGCTTTGCAGAAGTCTTTCCAGAGCACAAGTACAACGTCGTGGATATTCTGCAGCAGCGTGGATATCTGGTAGCCATGACGGGCGACGGCGTTAATGATGCCCCATCTCTGAAAAAAGCCGACACTGGAATCGCAGTCGAAGGATCCTCAGATGCCGCGCGATCTGCCGCTGACATCGTATTCCTAGCCCCAGGATTGTCCGCTATTATTGATGCTGTGAAGACTTCCCGTCAAATCTTCCATCGCATGTACGCCTACGTGGTTTATCGTATAGCTCTCTCTTTGCATCTCGAGATTTTCCTGGGGCTTTGGATTGCCATCCGCAACGAGAGCCTAAACTTGCAACTGGTGGTGTTCATTGCCATCTTCGCTGACATTGCAACTCTGGCTATCGCCTACGACAAAGCCCCCTTCTCCAGTACACCGGTGAAATGGAATCTCCCCAAGCTGTGGGGAATGTCAGTGCTGCTTGGGATTGTCCTTGCCATCGGCACGTGGATCACCCTCACCACCATCTTGGCTTCTGGTGAGAATGGGGGCATCATGCAGAACTACGGCAAACGAGACGAGGTCTTGTTCTTGGAGATTTCGTTGACCGAGAATTGGCTTATCTTCATCACTCGCGCTAACGGTGCTTTCTGGTCTTCTGGATGGCCATCCTGGAAACTGATAGGGGCCATTGCAGCGGTGGACACTGTCGCTACGTGCTTCTGTGCATTCGGCTGGTTCGTCGGTGGACAGACCTCGGCCCCGACAATTATCCGGATCTGGATCTTCTCCTTTGGTATGTTCTGCATCATGGGAGGGTTATACTATCTGCTTCAAGGCTCCAAGAGCTTTGACAATATCATGCACGGCAAGAGCCCCCGGAGCATGGACAAACAGCGCTCTCTTGAGGACTTTCGTATGATCAAGCCCCATTTCCCGGTATCGTTCCGACAAAGCTAACTGGCCCAGTGGTTGCCCTACAACGCGTGTCTTCTCAGCACGAAAAGAGCTCGTTGACCAGTATGGAGAATGGACAGGCTACCCGTGGTGTTTGATCATCCTTTATCCTTGATGATATTCTGCACGGCTCGCTGGCGAAATCGGTATAGCTCAAGATCGATATGGCATCATGAGCACACACCCTGAATATTCTGCTGTGTTTGTACAAAGCCCATGTCTTTGACGCATACGTTCCTTTGTTGTACATCATAGGCGGAGTTAAAGCATGGTGTCTCCTAATAATGAAACATTCATGAAGAATTATGATCGATGCACACAATCCTGACCTCAATCGAGTCCTATTCAATAAATATAAATCTACCATGCTGAGCGCTAGGTTGTCAATCTACGTATTGATAATATCGAGAAGCAAATAGGTATTCCTAGATTACACGGTGACAATGATAGTAAAGGTAGATAATAGGGTAAGTCGTGAGGAAACAGGTTAGTCGGGGAGGGAAAATGCCACCGAGAAAGAAAGACGATGTACAGATACATAGCAGCAAGTATGCAGGATGAAAAGGGGGGCAAGACGTAGAGACATGAAAGATAAGGAAAAGAGGATGAGGAAGGTGTGGAAAGTGATGATGACGTGACAGAGAGATAAGGAAAATTGACGTGTGGAGCGAATGGACGGCTAAGGACAAGAGAGTCGAGACTATGTGCACTGGGAGGGATCCATCATTCTGAGTGGAAATGTTGAGAGAGCGTTAAGCTTTGGAGGTCAGGTGATCGACAGCCTGTGTGACAAAGGTGTGATTAGCACTCGTGGATGGAAGCTAGTTCGCAATAGGCAATCACAACATACCTTGTCAATATTATAGTCGAATTGTTCGAGAGCAGCGAGAGATTCTTCGCGGGGGAAGCCCATGTTGGTCAGGCGTTGGAGGATCTGGTCATCCTCGGTACCGGTCTGAAGAGCCCATCCTGGTGGCTTGTTTGCTTGGGCAGAATCATTCGCGGTGCTGGAACCGTTGGCCCCGCTTGCTGATGCTTTGGCATTGTCAAGAGGGGCAAAGAGCTCTTCCCAGTTGTGCGTCTGCGCCTGGGAATTTGCGTCAGGGTGAGACGCGGCAAAGCCCGGAGATGAGGCAGTGGCATCCTTGTTGAAATCAAAGAATTCTGAAGAGGAGGCAGCAGGATCCTGCAACGTCTTCTGGGCCGGGTTATCGAAGGAGAAATCGAAGTCCATGTTATCTTTGTTCTCTACAGTCTCAAGGTCGTCATCGTCGTCCTCTGCCTCCTTGGCAGGAGCCAGGTCAAGTCCTGCAAATGCAGCCTCAAAATCAGGAGCATTGGGCTTGGCTTCTTGAGGGGCGGCCTTAGTTTCCTCATGGTGATCGCGCTGGGGCTCTCCCCCGACGATCGGGGCGCCCGTGCTTGTCTCCACTGAGTGAGGTGCATCAGCAGCAGTTGTCGGGTCCTCGCGGCTCGGCAATAGCCCGTTGAACTCGGGAGGTATACTTCCTGGCTCTTGCTTTCCTACGGTCTCTTCGTAGTTCGGGGGGCTGCGCTGAGCCTCCGCAGCAGGAGGTTCACTGGGAGTGGCGGCAGCGCCCGGCAAAGGGAAAGCTGCTGGTTGAGGTGTTTCAAGGGTATCAGGCTTAGGTTCTCCTCCTACCTGGCTCTGAGGGGGGAAGGCGGGGGCGAAATCGTCCTCAAAGCCCAAGGGTGCTTCGCTGTCTGAGCTTTCGTCCCCGTCATCGAATTCACGGATCGGAGGGAATTCAGACTGAGCGACAGGTGCTGCACCATTGGGCTTGCTTGGCCCGGGACCATTCTTCATAGCAGCAAAAGCCTCCTCGAAATCATTCTTGTTCTGAGACTGAGATCGTTTATGAGCTGGCCCGCCAAATAGCTCATCGAAGCTAAGATCCTTCTTTTCTGTAGGATTCTCGGCAGACGTGGCTGAATCGCCACTCGCGGGAGTATGATCAGCGACGTCAGGCACTTCAGGAAAGCGTTCCTTCGGCTCGTCAAACTCGTCAAAAGGCGAAGCCACGGCCTTGGCTTGCTCTGTTGGGGTGAAGGCCGCTACTTCACTAGCCGTGTCTGGACCACCAAACCTGCTACCAGGAGGCGAGACTCGGGTGGAAGAGGTAACCGAGTGATCTTCGCCGAACGGCAGCACGTTTGGTGTGAGTTGCCTTGATTGCGAGAGCGCAGGTGGCTCGAACGCAGCAGCAGCACCAACAGAAGGGGGTGGAGACACTGAAGGGGTCGGAATGCCCGAGGTCGGCTGCGACTCGGCCCGGAAAGAGACGGGCGGGGGAGGAGTGGCAGCCGTAGCAGGAGACACGAAGGAGGTGCCAAAGAGGCTGTCAAACGCACGCTGCTGGTCATTCGAGATCTGGGGTGACAGCGCGTTGTTGTCGCTGGAACCAGTGGCCGTGCGCTTGAAGAACGGGTTGGTGTTCTGGCTTGCTGTAGATTCAGCGGGGCTTGTAACAGCAGCAGCCTCGCTTGCGACGGCAGCAGCCTCCTCAGGTTCTCTAGACTGCTCCAGTGAAAGAGTGTCAATCTCCTCCTTGATCTTATCTCTCTCGCCTTCCACAGTTGCAAGCTGCTTCTTGTTGATCGCTACAAGACCTTTCTGCTGACGGGCACTCGAGCGTGCCTTGTCTAAGGCAGGCTTGAGCTGAGCAACCGCAGCGTTGGCTTCACGGATCTTTTCCTTCAAGTTCGCATTCTCTTGCTGGTCAGCAGCCAGGGCAGCCGACACCTGATTGTATTGATTTTGTAGATCCTGCCGGCTGCCCTCTAGAAGAGCAAACTCCTGTTGCAATTTGTTTGTTTCGGCTCTCGAGGCATTCAACCGTTCCTCAAGAGCTTTGAAGTTCTTGACCTCCTGCTCATACATTGTCCTAGCCTGCGCAAGGCGAGCCTCAAAGTCACGCTTCTGCTGGGAGGTTTGGGACAGGTCCCGCTCGGCTGACGTTCGCTTCGACTGAACATTCTGCATCTCATTGGCGAGAGAACCAATCTGGTTAGACAGGTTGGCGAGCTCTGTAGTCTCCTGTGTCAGCTTTTTGGACTCCTCGGGATCATTGTCGCCCAACAGATCATCGGCAGGCGGCGGTGGTGACCGGATAGTTGGCGCTGCACCGGCGGAGGCACCAGTCATCTGTGGCTGCAAGCTTTGGCCAAACGTGGACGTGGGCACAAATGGCTTGAACGATGACGAAGCTGTTGGCGGGGAAGTTCGGGATCCGGGAGAGCTCGGTGTCTGGAAAGCTGCGTTCGAACCGCCCGTGGACTGCGGCACCTGAGAAGGAGCAATAGGAGGTGCAGGCGCTGTGAAAGCGTCCAGACCAAACAAGTCATCCGCCGCCGACTTAGGAGCAGGGGCGGGAGCTGGTGCAGGGACTGGTGCGGGAGCAGCAACTGGTGGAGCGATGTGAGCAGATCCAGGGCGACGCATGCTGGGAGGAATCAGAGCCGGGGGTAAGGTCTGTGGCAATGGGTTCTTTCCAGTCCGCTGCTGCCGAACCAGATACATGGCTACGGCAAACTCATCCTTCGTCAAACGTCCATCGGCATCGATATCTGCAAGATCCCAGATCTGGGCAAGGGTCTCCTCTGGCAGTTGTGCCCCCATGAAGAACGCAACGGCCTGGTCACCACTTACAGATCCTACCTTAGCGGTGTCGACAGTTGCAAAGATATTGTCAAACATCGCTTTTTCTTGGGGCGAAACCAGCCAATCCCCGCCAGTAGACTGAGGAGCTAGAGGCGATCCGAAGGGCCGATTGATCGGGCTCTGAGTCCGCTGCGGCCCAGTGAACTGTTTTGGAATAGCAGGGACAGGGGGAACATCCAAGCCCTGACGTGAGCCAACCGATGAACGAACCGATCCTCTTCGCGAAGCTGCATCATACAGGCCCGGAGGCAAAGTTTGCGGAATTCCCCTCATTACGCCTGATTTGTACGAAGTGAGAAGATGCATCGCAATGACGAACTCCGTCGCATCAAGCACGCCCTGTTGCCTTACATCTGCTAAGTTCCAGATGCGGCCGAGAATTTCGTTCGGCAACCGTGCACGCTCGAAGATCTGCTTAGCTGTTTCCCCTGTAGATTGCGCCGTTGTATGAGCCAAACATGTCCAAGCCCATCGAGCCCTGTCTCAAACGGAAGGGGGGAAGTGATCCGTACCTGAAAGGACGCCGGTCTTAGCAACATCTGATTTATCGAACAGCGATAGGAATTTGTTCACGTCCTCGGGGTTCAACGGAGGAACACGAATAGGGCCGCCTGCTGCGGGGGTAGGGCTGGTGGTGCCTGCCTCGCGCGGAGTAGGTGGACCAGGGGCGGCGGCATCAACGGAGATGCCATCGAATTGCGGCAGGGGACCGGCTAGAAGAGTACGAATTTCTGTCAGTACTTGCTGATACCTAAACGTCCACATAGGTCGAATGAAGGGCGCAGGGCGCAGGGCGCTTCCGAGAGCACTCACGTTGGTAAGCCAGTTCCTCTGTCGGTGCGCGACCCGCTTGAGCGTGTCCGATCAAGCGGAGAACGACGCCAAACCCGGAAGGGGTCAATAGACCCCTGTTCTCCTTATCCGCGATCTGCCATATCTATAGTTCGAAGGGGAGGTCTGCATTAGCGAAGGGCAGTTGCGGGCAGGGCAGGCGACAACCTGAACAGGCATCGACATACCAAGCCGAGGGTTTCCGGAGCCAATTGGGTCTTTTCGAAGAAAGGCACGGCAACCTCGCCAGTGATGACACCCAGGTTAGTGGTATCAGCGGCCTGAAAGAGCTGGTAGAAGACACGCTTTTCCTCGGGGGTCAGATTGAGATTGGGGTGTCGTGCTGCTGGTGACCCGTCAGTTCCGCTGCAACATTGGGGTCATGCCGACCGGGTTGGGCCGTCATCTCCTGAGAGCTCCGGGGGAGGGCAGCTGGCCAGTCATGATAACGGGGGGAAGAAGCAACGCAACTCACCGTTGTCAGCCATGATGGGTATAGCTCAGGAGGAGCGAACCTCCTTTCTGAGATATTCCAACACTATGCGCCACAAGAGGGAGGGGGGGAAATCAACGCAGGGGGTAGGTTGGCACAAAAAAAAAGTGAGAGACAGTTGAAGAGGAGGTGGTCAAGTTAGCTGGGAGAGGGACTACCGACGGGGCCTGGATGGCCAAGGCGGTAGCAGCTCGAGCTAAAAAGGGGTGGAAGCAATGGCGATATACCCCAGGTTGTAACGTAACACAGGGGAATAATGAGCAGAAATTAAATTAAGTCTTAAGGTGAGGATGAGACAAGAGACACGAGGGGAGAAGGAGGAAAGGTAGCGGAGGGGTCGGAGGGAGGAAAGAGGGAGGTTGTCGCAAGCTGCGTAATTACCTTCAACCTTCAACTACGTACTACGTCGTACTGCTACTGCTGCTACTGCATGTACTGTACCTGGAAAGCTGACAGGCGAGGGGGAAGAAGAATTGCCGCTGGGCGGTAAGGTTGGCCCGTGCAGGCGGGCGGTCAGTCGGCAGCCCTCTCCGACGTCAGTCCCTTGCCTGGATAGCTACTGACTTTCAACACCAGCCTCTAAATAAGCTGGTCTCTGGTTCTGAAAGCCTTGAGGAAAAAAACATATGTCACTTTAAGGTCTCCATTCTCCAAAGTATCCCAAAGTGTCCGGACAAGCACTGACTACAACAACACAATGGGTCATCCACGAGGTGTAATGCCAGCACAGGGTAACAACCACGCCTTCAAGAATTTCATGGGAATGATCAAGAGAAATAACCCCGATGTCGACTGCAATTCAGAACCATGGACCTTTGTTTTAGAACGAGGCGAACGTTATATTACAATCTTGCTGGCTTGCACGGGAACGAGCGGGTAAATTTCATCGCTGCTTCAGGGATATTAAAAATATATCAGACAAAAGAAAACATAGTCTGTACTAAGCCAATCTCGTCTCTCCTATTGTATCTGTACGCACAGCCAGAGTCCCGCCGCTCGTCGGGTCTTCCCCGGGCCAAAGTCTGTCCCCAACGGATCACCGCGGAAACAATCAGGGCCAGCCCTGGCATCCAAGCAGACTGCCCCGTCGGACCATCCTCGGGGCTCCGGCCGAGGAAAGTGTCGTCAGACTTAGTACTCAGCCTCAACCTCCTCCTCCAGAGAGTCGCTGGCCACCTCCTCGTAATCACGCTCGAGGGCAGCGAGGTCCTCACGGGCCTCGGAGAACTCACCCTCCTCCATACCCTCACCAACGTACCAGTGGACGAAGGCACGCTTGGAGTACATGAGGTCGAACTTGTGGTCGAGAGCGGACCAGGCCTCGGAGATGGCGGTGGTGTTGGACAGCATGCAGCTAAAAAGAAAAGGGACAGTCAGCGACGTGCACTGCGGAGACAGGAGCAGGGATCAACTTACACAGCGCGCTTGAGGGGAGCGAGGTCGCCGTTGGGGACCTGCTGGGGAGGCTGGTAGCAGATACCGATCTTGAAACCAGTAGGGCACCAGTCGACGAACTGGATGGTGCGCTTGGTCTTGAGAGTGGCAACAGCGGCGTGGGTCTCCTTGGGCACAACATCACCACGGTAGAGCAAGCAGGTGGCCATGTACTTGCCGTTGCGGGGGTCACACTTGACCATCTGGTTGTTGGGCTCGAAGCAAGACATGGTGATCTCGTTGACCGAGTTGGACTCGTGGGAAGCCTTGTCAACAGAGATGACAGGGGCGTAGGCGACGAGAGGGAAGTGGATACGAGGGTAGGGGACCAGGTTGGTCTGGAACTCGTTCAGGTCGACGTTGAGGGAACCATCGAAACGCAGGGAGGCGGTAATGGAGGAGACAACCTGGGCGATCAGGCGGTTGAGGTTCTCGTAGCTGGGGCGCTCAATGCCGAGGTTACGGCGGCAGATATCGTAGATAGCCTCGTTGTCGACCATGAAGCTGCAGTCGGAGTGCTCGAGGGTGGTGTGGGTGGTAAGGATGGAGTTGTAGGGCTCAACAACCGAGGTGGCGTTCTGGGGAGCAGGGTACACGCAGAACTCGAGCTTGGACTTCTTGCCGTAGTCAACGGACAGGCGCTCCATGAGGAGAGCACCGAAACCGGAACCGGTACCACCACCGAAGGAGTGGAAGACCAGGAAGCCCTGGAGACCGGCACAGTTGTCGGCCACGCGGCGAACCTTGTCGAGGACCTGGTCGATCATCTCCTTACCGACGGTGTAGTGACCACGGGCGTAGTTGTTGGAAGCATCCTCCTTGCCGGTGATCATGTTCTCGGGGTGGAAGAGACTGCGGTAGGTACCAGTGCGGACCTCGTCGACGACATTGGGCTCGAGATCGGCGTAGATGGTGCGAGGCACATACTTGCCCTGACCTGATTGCCCCAACCTGTTAGTGCACACGAGGGGCAAGATATCAGTGTTGGGACAGAAAGCGTACCAGTCTCGGAGAAGAAAGTGCTGAAGCCGTGGTCGGGCTCAGCCTGCTTGCGCTCCTCGGTCAGGTAACCATCGGCCTAGTGGCGAAAAAAAGCAGCTTGTCAGTGAAGTTCATCTCAAGAAGTGATGGGATCACGCGAAATCTGATCGTTTTCGACGTGTTTTTGATCATCTTCACGTACCTGGATACCGTGCTCAAGGCAGTACAACTAAATGGTCAATACAGTCAGTCCAGCTGTCCTTTTGCCTTTTGGGCTTCCGAACACCCATTGTGTCTTTGTTGAAGAGTTTCCATCAGGGTCGACGAGGGAAGAGAAGAAGAGGGGTCAATCTCTTCGAGAGTGTAGCATACCTCCCAGCAGGAGTTGGCGATCTGGCAACCAGCCTGACCGACTGTGAGGGGAGAACCAAAACATTAGTCAAACACGTCAGGCAGATCCCCCAAGCGAGATGAAGGGCGGGGGAGCGGGTGAAATGATCAGAGGGCACATACCGTTCAAACTAATAACTTCTCTCATTTTGTCGAGTTGAATTGAAGGGTTTCAGATGGCGGGAGGAGGGATAAGAAAGGTGGGTGTGGAATGTGGACAGAGGGAAAAATTAAAATACCCAAGGACGACGATCTGTACGGACGTTTCAGGGGTTCGAGAGTCAGCACCTAAAAGGGCCACACCACCAGAGGCAAGAAGGTGGAAAATACAAGTTTGTGGGGGGAATTTAGGAAAGGAGGGAGAAAGGGAAAGGGGAGAAGGAGTTTAAGGGATGAGGGGGGGGGGGGAAGGGGAGGAGCGACTAGCTAACCCTGGGGAAAGAGGACTCACTATCACGAATGCTGAATTATGGTCCGGTCAAAGAGGATTGATTGCCCAAAGAGACAGCCAGGTTGATCGGTCGACTCGATTTGTTGTGGTCTTTGAATGCGCTGTCAACCCAACACAGTCGGCGTGGTTCTTCCGTCCGTTGGGTCGCGTTCTTGCCATTGGGAGCTGCTGATTGGCTGCTGCCCGCCCGTGACCACTTAGCGGTCAGTTGGCTGAGTCAGCGCCCAATTCTTATCACGTGATGCTGTGACGGCATGCCCAGTGGTCGATCCCAGCATCATCGAACTGGAGGGTTCGCGATGACGAGGATCGCCAATGGGCTTCTTGGAGTCCATTAGCGAAGAGCACATCTTTTCGCCTTTCGCCCAGAATGACATGGGCTCTACTCTAATATCTTAATCTCCCACATTCCGCATGTCCCACAATCGCTCAATCAACACACATCAAGCCTATCCATCAATTAAAGCTACCGCGCAGCTCCAGAAGCAGTAGCTCTGTATGTATGCATGCACCTCCACTGGGCTTTCTCTACCCTCTACCAGAAACTGACCTACTGTAGACTAATCCAGTTTCATCGCCCTTCTCAGCTCCATAATGCTGCGCATATAAAGAAAGGCAAATCAAAGAAATCATCATAACGCCCACAACACCACAATGCACCACCCCCTCATCCTTCTCCTCACCACTCTTCTCCTCCTCTACACCGGCCTCACGACCGCCAACGTCGAAAAAACCATCTTCCTCGGCCCCTCCCCCTCCCTAATTCCCACTCTCACGCCTCCCATCGACGACCTTGGCCTCCCACGCCTGTCCCCCTCATACTTCCACCACCGCACAAAACTCAATGCCTCCTTCCCCGGCCCCGACTCCGCCGGCACCGACTCATGGTTCTTCCTCGAGCATCTGATCCCCGGGAAACGCTATGAAGTACGCATATGCTGGCTGGCCACTGTACGTCTTTGTGCCCCCAAAAGAACTTTCCAAGTCCCCCCAATCAAAGGCAATCATGCCACAAACGAATGCAACTAACTCCCCCCCCCTAAAAAAAAAAACCAGCAACCAACCTCCTTCCATCTAACAACCTACACCCTCCCGCACGCCCTCGAAACCCCAGACCTCCTAGGCGCGATAACCACCTACTCCACCGCCCGGCTCGCCCACCAGCAACACCTGGACGACAATGATCTCGCCCTCCTCTCCGACCTCGACAAGCAGGTCCGCCACAGCCATAAGCAGAAGAAGTCGACCCACCCCAAGAAGGGGGGGAGGCACGGTGGGATCTTCACACATTCGCGGTTCACGGCCGGCAGTCCCGTCGAGGATACGGCCCCGGTCTCGGACTCGGTGCTGTTCCTGCGGGTCCGCGCCGCGGCGGACTACTACTCCACCGATCCGGAGCTCATGCAGAGCGTGTCCCCCGTCGTGGTGGATGTGATCCTGGATCCGTATCTGGGCAATGTGTTCCCGCGAAGCTTGGTGCCGACCGCCGGGTGGGTGGTGGTGGTGGCTGGGGTCGCGGTCTTCGTGGGCCGATGGGTGGTTGCGGAGCTGGGGCGAGTCGTAGATTCGATCGCTTCGGAGGAGCAGGAGCAGGAGCAGGAAGGAGAGATTGGTGGTGAGAGGGAGGCAAAGAAGATACAGTGAACTCTCACCTCCGATCTAATGCATATCCCAATTTATCTTATGTGTAAATATATTGATTATGACTCGGTACGATCTAGCGTCGACTCTGTGACTTGGAAAATGTATAATCGGATTGAATGTGTATTGGGAAAAGGCGTGGGATTACATTCATGGTCATGGGCAGCATATACATAGCAAGCACTAGGCAAAAATAATAACATTAAGATCATTCAGTCATAGTATGTGAGCGTCTATTATCACAGCACAATTATGTATCATCAACTAAATCGAAACAAAACACGGCATCAGGGGGGT